CCCCCAGGGGCCCTCCCGCCCAGGGCCGCCCATCACGGCCCCCACGAGAGGCCAAGGGTAACGACCCCTTGGCTGTGTCTGCGTTTTGTGACAAATGAGGCCAAAGACCAACCGTCTGGACATCTCAAAAAGGCTCGCATGTGTCCTGTGTCCACGTCCCTGCTGGCCCGCTCACCCCGCCGAGTCACTGGCAAGGGCTCTTTTTTATAATAGGGGCGTCAGCTTTAGCGCGTGTTCCCCACTATTATCCCTTTTAAATGAGTCGGTGGCATTCTGATCGAACAGAAACACCGCGTCCCAACCGTTCCCCCTCAAAGCAGACCCGCACGGCAGGCCGGGGGGAGGGACGAGCAGCCGTCTGGAGGCGGGGGCCGCCCCCGGCCCCGTGCAGCTTCCCTGGGGGTGTCCACGTCTCGGCGCGCCTGCCACCCACTCACCCCCCAAGCCCTGGGAGGCTCTGGCGTGGAAGTATAAAGTGGTTTGCAGGACGAAGAGCTGTTTTATGGAGCCTGAGCGGGGACAGGGGAGAGAGGGAAGGCAGAGCTTCCTGGACCGTTCCCACCATGACCCCTGCGTGCGGGCGTGCATGCCCGCGGGCACCTGCCGGGCACCTGCTCACCTGTCCTCCTCCGGGGCCTGCGGCGCGGGCCCGGGCAGGGGCTGGATGCGCGCCAGCTCCTCGCCCTGCCGCTGCTTCCTCCGGTCGCGGATGCTCAGGCAGATGGACAGCAGCAGCAGCGCCACGCCCGCGCCCACCAGCACGTAGGCCACGGAGAACGTCTTGCTCTTGAGGATGCCGCTGCTCGTCTCGGTCTTGTTGCTCCCCTGGGCCGGCGGCTTCTCGGCGGCGCTGAACCCGGGGACCAGGTTCCACATGGCCATGATGACCCCGAGGACCAGCATGCCCAGGCCGATGGCGGTGAGGGCGTAGTGCGAGCCGTTGGCCTTGGACTGGGCCATCCTGCCCGCAGGAGCAGGGCACGGCCCGGCGCCAAGAAAGAAAATCAACCGACGGCCGCCGCCGCCGCCGGGGAGAAAGCCCCGAACGCCCCGCCCGGGATGCCCGGCGCCACACTAAGGAAACAGCGGCGGGGCTCTCCGGCGCGCGCGGGGCATCCCGCGTGGACAGCTGCGGGCCAGGAGGTCTGAAAGGAAAGCAGAGAGGGAGGAGGGGACGTGAGTTCCCACTCCCGAGGGGCTCGGGGGCGGCACCGCGCCCGCCCCGGCTCCGCATTCCACGCGCCTGACGCGGCCCCCTGGCCGCCTGCGCCACCCGAAAAGGGAAAGCCAGGCCTCTCCCTGCGGGAGGCCGGGGAGGTCAGGGCTCCGGGTCCGTAAAACATTCTGCGGAATTTAAGGAAGCGCAGCCAAGCCTCGGACCTCACTGGGTGCGGGAGGAGTGTGAACGGTGGCGCTCGTGAGCCCTGATCAATAACCATAACAGAATCGTCTGGGCGACGGGCATCCGTCAGCATGACCCAGTGCAGACAGCCAATGGCGGTCTTCCCCAGCCCAATGGCTCCCCATCTCTTGCAGCTGAAAATTCAGGGTCTATTTTTTTTTTCCAATCCTGCCCCAAGGAGTGAGGATATTTTTTCCATTGATTTTTTTTTTTCAGGGAGGGGGGAAGGGGGGGAGAGAGACAGACAGAAACATCGACGTGACAACAGAGACACATCGATTGGTTGCCTCCCACACGCACCTAGACTGGGGGCAGGGATCAGACCTGCAACCCAGGTACATGCCCTTGACCAGAAATCGAATCCAAGACCCTCCAGGGCAAAGGATGGCGCTCTAACCACCAAGCCACACCGGCCAGGGCAATCCAGGCTGACCTGCCCGGGGCCTGCCTCTCCCACCCACCTCTCCCCTTACCCCTCTTTGCACACCCACTTCCAGCATTTCTGCAGCTCTGGGATTACCCAGCTCAGCTGCCCCTTCTGCGTGTTCCCACGAGACCCCAGCAACTGCTGCGCAAGGCTCTCTCCCTGTGGCCGTGTCTTCCTCGCGCCTGGGCCTGGAACTCAGCAGGGACTCAGCAACCGTTTGCTGAATCATGTGAATGAAACGAACGGAGGCCACATGAAGCCGGCCTGAGAGGGACGCATCGCTTCAGCACAGCCCTCATCTCAGCTGCGGTGCCCCCTGGCAGAAAAGCCCTCTTTCCTAGAAGCAGCTCAGAGACCTCTTGCTAAAGGGAGCCGCCAGCCGTCCTGGGATCCCATGGTCATGGGCTGGCCGGGCGAGTGAGCCACGTGGGTGAGTCACCTGAACACTCCCAGGGGCCACGGGGGGCGGGCCGGCAACACGCCCTGATGACCACCCTCAGTACGTTACTCCAGGGAGGGCAGCAGCCCCCGCAAACCAGCAGACCCGCAGATGTTCAGATGGGCAAGGCCCGCTTTGCAGCTCTGCATTCTTTCCGACCCTCCCAAAGGGACGGCGAACCAGGCCGCTTGCAACCCAACACCTCAGAGATGTTTTCTCATTAAACAAGGGCCTGCATCCGAAACCGACCACTTTGTTAAAAATACTCTAAAAATATTTGGGATAATATCCTTTCTCAGCTTGACGTCTGTTCCCTTTTCCCCCCTCAGTGTATTTCGAGTGCACCTGCTAAGCAGCGTTACAGGCACTAGAGGAACCGGGGCGAGCGAGTTAAGGGTTAGGGGGCTTCCAGGCCAGCGGCAGAACCGTCCACAAGGAGTAACAATAAAGTGGGAAGAAAGCTCAGGAACCGTGCGGTGAGGCGGCCAGTGTCCTAGGCTGGGCTGGAGGGCGTATGGGAATTCTCTGCAAGACAGAGGTCCCACTGACGGAACAGGGCCTTCACCCTGAACACACTACATTGCGTGTGCACGGGCATGTATGTGTGTACATGTGTGCATATGCACGGGTGTGTGAACCTGTTATGTGAGTATGTGCACACTTGTGCATGTGTGTGCCATGCAGGGCACAGGGATCCTGCTGCAGGCAGCTGGAGTGGGACCAGCTGGGAACAGTCTCCCATAAGCACAGAGCATTGGTTTCCCACAGTATCTATATCACTCAGGGCCAGCGAAGGGAAGGACAAGGGGGTCAGCAACCCTGGGTTCTGCCAAAGGGATCCGAGGCAAGGCCAGAGGCGGAGGGCTCAGGGGTGGACGGGTGCAGCCTGAGGCTTATGCTGCAAGCAGGAGATGACAAGGCCACATACTGAGCACCTGCTAAGGCCCCGGCAGGTAGGCCTTCTACCTGGGCGGCTGATGGTGTGTTTAAAAAATATGTATTTTTTAATCTTCACCTGAGGATATTTTTTTCCATTGCTTTTCGGGGGGGGGG